TTTGAAACAGGTTGAACAGGAGCTTTCATGGTATTCCTGTTACTGTGGGGCAAGTCTAATAGCTAGATGCATAATATTCAGTGTTAACATACTGATCTTGGTTCAATACAATATCTGGCGCACCCTAGTGGAGTGAATGATTGATTGTATTGGTAAGAAGCTGAATTAAATTAAGCCTGAAAAGGACAGTTAAAATGTAGTTACCTGATGACTGCAATTCCCTGTAATATTACAGAAGTTAACCAACTACACCCAATGAAATGGATGGAAAAATATTTTTTTTAGTATTACATGAAAAATAATAAGTGGGTAAAATTTACTTTTGATGAAATGTCAGTGTTAGTAGATGCTAATTTTGTCAAGTGCCCAGCTTGATACCTCTTCCACAGACCTTATTTCTAGAGTGTAACTTGCTGGGGGTGTAGGTTTTGTTTTACAAACTTACCTGATGCCTGCTTGTGCTTTATTCCTTTGCCTTATGGAAACATCCACAGTTAAACAAGAAGGGGGAAAAATCATGGATATAAAATGTTAAACTTCATGGCATAGGCAAGTCTCACTATTTGATGAGATGAGTGAAGGAGTAGGAAAAAATGGCCTAGACCAGGTTTTCCTTGAATTGTCCAAAATAGAACCAATCCATACGATCACTTTGAAAACTAGAACAACAGGCCTGGTGGACTGTGGGCCTGATATGTTATGGACTTGAATGTGAAGGGAGCAAGGAAGCGGCAACATTCCAGTACCTTGATGTAACTCATTCTCTAATTCTTTTTTTATTAGATGAAAGGAATGACTGGATTAATACAATACTCAGTGCCTTGAAATCACATACTGATACCTCTCAAGCTCGACTCACTGTTGCTCCTGAGAGAAGTGGATACCTTGAACTAAAGGGGTACAAAGCAAAAGTCTTCACTATTCTTCAGGGTAACAACGTCTGGATCTGTAAAAATGAACAGGTAAAGGTTTTATACTTATTTGTGGATGGATGCTTATAAAAATGATTAAACAAGTTAGAACTTGATGCTTCTAATGAATAGACACATTTTAAGAAAAATGCGTATCTCCTGTAACTTTATTTCTGAATTTCTCCCCAAAACAAGAATAATTATCATTATTTCCTCTGTACATTGGTGTTACAACATGGAGGTGATTGGAAGGGTTGGGACTAATACACTCTTTCCCTATGTGTCTGTTTTATGCACTCTGCTAATAGTGGGTGCATTTTGTGCAGAGGATTCACAATCATTGTCACAGGATGGTATGCAGTAATGAAATGTATAATAGCTGAGATTATACCATTTAAATACTAAGTTTTTTCCAAAACTTACTGTATGATTTAAAGATGCTTTTGACTTTCACCATTTTTTCATTCAAGCATGGTTTACAAAATTTTAAGCAGAAATATCTTGTAGAAAATACTAAGTAGTTAGTTTCCTCAATCCATCTTATAAAATCCAACTTGTGTATGTATGGAATGTATTTCTTTTTTTTAAATTTATTTTACTGGCTCTATAATATTAGTAAAGTAAAAAAGGATGTACTTTCCATGGAGTTCTTGCTATCTGGAACTGGCAAAAAGATCCAAAGGGATAAAAACAGCCAAGTGCATTTTCCTCTCTCTCTCTTTCTCAACTTCACTGTAACCAAGATACCTACATGCCCATGCAGTTACATCCACCCTTGTGTGAAGGAGTGTATACTAAACTGGATTTGAGGCCCTCTTTGGTCTCTCTTATGATTCCTACATGAACTACTCTGGTCCCAGCTTGGGGCAGGTGATGTTTCCAGATTTGGGGACAGGGCTGAATCTGAAGCAGCTGCCTGCCCCAAGCTGGTCTCAAGTCCAACATGAGGGGTCCCTTTCCCCCACTCCCTCTGCCCTGTGTTGAAAGAGGAGGGACCTCATGTTGGATTTGAGTAAATATGGTGCTCAAGTGGATGTCAAGCCGGTCTCGTTGCTAGGACTTGATCATGTTTTTTTCTCCCAGGATATGGCTGGTCAGTTTGAATTAGGAAGAACTTTTCCTTTCCACATTTGCTGTGCTAAATTTGTATTCTGTACTTTACTTGCAGTTGCTTGCCTGAGAATATCATATCAATGGTGGATCATTCTGAGTGAAAACCGCATTGACTTTTGGGATAGATTCTTTCACCTAGAAATTGTAACCTAGGGAGCATGATGCGAGTAACAATTTTTCTGATGATGTTCATCAGGGGTGATACCTCTGTAATTGTGTCTCAGTCATTTCTATTGTTTTATTTTTGTCTAATTGTACAAACCAAGCATTGTTGAAATCTTGTGACAGTGTTTCTTCTTTCCAGCAGACCACTGTAACTTCATGGACCTTTCAAAGTATTTCGTCATAGACATATTTGTAGATTTCAGCAGGCAAGCAGTTGTTGCCGGATGCCTTGTTCCCAGGGATAGATTTAATGGCTTCCTGCAAATCTTCTAACAATTGTCCAAATCCATCATAACTTCTAACTGCAGTAATCCTTTGAGCTCTTTGTGTTTGATTCCAGTCACACTGGAGTATAAAATTCCATAGCTCAATCCAACGCTCAAGTTGTTTTTATTTATCAGTAATGACATTTCTGTTTAACTCTCAGCAGAGCTGTTTTCTTACTGACTGGACCAATTGCTTGTTTGATGCCTTCTTACATTCCACGGCTATCACCTGCATCAGCTGTTTTCTGAATATCATCATCACACAGTTTCAGTCAAAAATCTTAGGCGCACCTCTTAGCTTCCTTTTGCTTTTCTCGTTGAACCTCTCCCAGCTTTTCCAGGGTTATGGTGTTTGGGAGGTTTCTTATAGTTGTTTAGCACTTTCATTTTGTTGTCAACCAGTGGTAGAAGGGTTTCAGAGTGCTTTTCAAACTGGTCTGCATTTTTCTTGCATTTTTTGCCAAACACTGTTGCAGCATCATTGTACATATTAGTTTTTAAGCTTTGCCAGGCTTCTGTGGCTGTGTTGTTAGGTAAATTTGCTTTCACAGCTTGTTCGTTGAATAGTCTGCTTTTTTCTGTCTTCAGTTTGGCTGATGTCTGTCCAAGGATGACTGGTAGTTTTGCTCTGGCAGATCTTTTTTATGTTGATTCTGACTTTGAATGGTCAGTGTCATGGTCAGCACTGTGATAAGACCTCATTGGTAGGATTTCTCCTGGGTGGTTATGTCTGGTCAGTACCAGATCTAATTGGTGCCTATGCCCTGATTTTGAACGTTTTTTATGAAGTCTTCCTTGTGATTTTTTTTCCCCAGCAAAATAGGTGTTGGCAATGCATAGATCTTGACTTTCACAAATTTCTAACACTTGCTGGCCATTATCATTCATATTGCCAAAGAACGTGTTCATAATGTTCTCCTTGTTTGTACAAAATTGTTGCTAGAAAAGGCTATGAATGTAACATATCTTGTGCATTACCTAGTGGACACAACTTATCTCAAGTTCTTACCCAGGAAGTGGTACTTTATTATTATTTGGGTAGATCCTAGATGGGAGGTTTTACTTAAAGATTACCATAAAAAGGAAGCTTAGCTGAGTATAGGATATGTGGCATTTAGGGTCTTCTATATGGCTGAATCTTGAACACTGTAGTAAGTGTGTTCTCTGTAATATAGCTTACTTTTATATCAATAAAGACTAGGACTAGTAATTTTTAAATGCAAGAACTGGTCAATGGAGTTAACTGGCAATATGTGGACAAGGACTGGGAATATATCTCTATATATTACACACCTGCTGTATATGATATTATCAGTATTCTTCCCTCTTTTAGCAATTTTTATTTATTAAATTTTGTGAAAGACTGAATAAAGAGAGAAATCAGAGCAATAGGTAGAAGTTTAGAACTAATATAACTTAAATTTTTGGAAACGGCTACTCCCAAGAAAAATATGGAGAGATAAGCAGTTCTCAGAGTACTTGAGTGACTAGTTTTGCTGCTTATTTTTAGCCAAGTTTTTAAAACGTTTGGCTGCTTCAAGTACAAAGTACAAAGCGTTGGATACAACTGCAGAATTTAGAGGCTACATGTTCAAGTGTCTGGGTTCCCTGCCCCTGCCAGTTGAGATAAGAGATTTTTTAAATTTGTTCAAGATGTTGTAGCTCACTGTGGGAGTGCTTAAAGTCCTGAGCTTTCTTAAATATTTGACCCTAGATATTTTACCCTCCTTTGCATTTGCAGCTGATTATATTGGCAGCACTAGAGTTTTGGTTTGATTTCCCTTTCTATGACTTGTTCCTCTGTAGTGTGCTCTTTTATTAAAGATAGGAGACTGTATAAAGCCCAAAGCCTTATGTTTGTTTTTATTCAGAATATAAAGAATGAGTTTTCTGAAAACATTTTTCTAGCCACTGCTATGTTTTATTCATATTCCATCTTACTCTTCTTTTGTTTTTCACTTTTTTATGTGCCTGTAATGTTTTTTTAGATTTCCTTTAAATAACCTCATCCTCCAAGAAATTTTATGCCATTTCTTTGATTGTGTGATTTTATTTTGTCTGCTTTTTGCTAATAATATTTTTCTTTTTTCCTTTCATCTATTTCTCTCTAGTTCTGATGCTTCCCATTTTTTACCTGCGTTTTTATTTACTTCTCAAATTTGTGCCTTTTTTTCCCTCCACGAGCCAGAAATAATTTAAGTGTTTGGAGAACAAACTTTTGTGTAGTATTTCTGTTATATGAAAAGGCATTTCCTTCCTTTAACTTAGAATCATAGAATCAATGAGTCGGAAGGGACCTA